CATATTGACGAGTGGAGAGACTGTTGTGTGTCTCTAAATACCACACTAAACGTCCATTTACTAGGCATTCCATCACTTTGCAAACTGCACTGGTAAGAGCAATGGGACGATAGTGGGAGGTTTCATGTCCCGTAGTGCCTGGTTTGCGGAAAGGGAGAACAATGGCGGATTTCCACAGCTGTGGAAGAACTCCTTGTGACCAAATAATATTGTAAAGGCGTAATAGGACTGCAAGGGCTGACTGATGTAAATGTTGTAGCATATGAATATGAATGTCGTCGGGCCCAGCTGCCGATGATCGGCAAGCTGAGAGTGTTGCCTCCAGTTCTTGAAGTGTAAAAGGCACATTATACTGTTCTTCTCTGAGAGAAGAAAAGTCCAAGGGTGCTAACTCTCTGGCAGACTTTGAGGAAAGAAATGAGGGGCATAGATGGAGTCCCTGAGAAATACGGACCAGATGATTGCCAATTTCATTGGCAACATCTAGTGGGTTTGCTATATCAACACCGGCAACCCGCAGAACAGGAGCCGGGTCAGGAGAATATTTACCACTCTGTTTTCGTACTTTTTTCCAGACTGCACTCAGAGGAAGCAGAGATGGTGGAGACAATCTCGCCAGCAAGTGCGTTTAGTGTCACGGATGAAACGGCGAGCGATCGCACGCTTCTGCTTAAATTCAAGAAGTCTCTCTGTGGTTCTATTGTACCGGTACCTGCCCCATGCAGTGCATTTCAAACGTACTGCACGAGCACAAGCAGGAGACCACCAAGGCACGCATTTCTGAGAATGCCTGCCCGAAGTTTGGGGTATAGAATGAGAAGCTGCGGTTAAAACGGAGGACGAGAAGAGGTGTAAAAGCTCATCGATGGAGGACGAAGAAGGAACCTCTCTAAAAACAGTTAGGCGTGAGTAAAGGTTCCAATTTGCCTGATCAAATTGCCAGCGTGGGATGCGAAGAGGTGGTGAATATGAAGGGGAAGTAAGAATGATTGGGAAATGATCGCTGTCATGTAAGTCTGGAAGAACAGACCAAGTGAAGTCTAATGCGGCGGAGGAAGAGCAGACTGATAGATCGATGCAAGAGAGAGTGTGAGTCCGAGGTTCAAAATGGGTGCGAGTACCTGTATTTAAAACATGGAGGGGGTGGGTGGCAAGAAAAGCCTCTAACTGAATGCCACGGGAATCACAGTGAGACCCCCCCAGAGGAAATGGTGGGCATTAAAATCACCAAGTAACAGAATCGGTGGTGGTAATGACGAAACAAGAAAGGCAATATCCGGAATAGATAATGCCCGAGAAGGAGAGAGAGATATAAAGAACAGAGCGTATACCACCTATGCAAGTGGATACGGGCTGCTGTGTAATGCAGCGAAGTACGAACAAATAGCTGATGGTACGGAATATCAGTGCGTAGAAGAAGGGCACTTTCATTAAAGGTCCCATCAGGAAAAGGATCTGAAGAATACAATAAATTATAGCCTGAGATGGGAGAGATAACAGCAGAGTGTAATTTTGGTTCCTGTAAGCAAACACCAACAGGGGAAAACTGGGAGAGTAACATCTGAAGCTCACCCCGATTACCCTGAGGCGCGTATATTCCACTGTAAATAAACCATGATTGGCAATGATAAAGATACCTGAAATCCGCAGGTAAGGGTTCCTATGGACTAGAGGGGTTAGAAAAGTCCACATGCGGAGGCAGTGGAAAACGTTCAAGCAGCGAAGGAACGGTGCGCTGTGAAGAAAGGAGTTGTGCAGATGGAGTAGAGGAGAGAGAAGGAGCGGAGGGTGGATCAGTGTCCATTGATGGTTTGGTCTCTGCAATACATTCAGAGATTGCTTCAAGTGTTTCAGAATTCAGAGACGTCGTATGGGAGACAATATTGGAAATGGTAGGGGGAGGATGAGTAAAGATTGGAACTGTAATGGACTGTACCAAGGTAGGGGGGGGACGGAAGGGTGGAGGGAACTGGAGAAGCGTGGAAGGAGACAGAAGAGGCAGAAACCTGGGAGGTGGCCGAAGAGGAAGAAACTTGGGAGGGAACAGAGGAGGAAGGTACAGTACGAGGAGGAGGGTGAACCTCTACACTTGTAACAGAGCCAGTGAGAGGGGGAGAACCAGGTACAGAGACAGGGAAGTTAAAATGAGGAGGTGGAAGATGGGTAGGAGGTGTTAACGGACCTTTTTTTGACTTTTGAGAAGTAGAGGGACGATTGGGAGGAGGTGTCATACGAGATCTTGTCGCTACTGAGGCTTGTGAGAGAGAACACGAAGAAGCAAGATCAGACTGAGACGTTGAAGTAGGGACGTCTGAGCCGAGGACAGCAAAAGAATTAGCTACAGGAGTGACTATGGGAGAGGTAACCACAGAGGTGGGTGCAGGAAGATGGGATACCAGAAGTGGGGGGACGTTTTGAAACACGGGAATAAGAAACACGAGGTAGTCTCCCTTGGAGGCGGAGATGAGAAACTGCCATGGCATAAGGGAGACCTTCTGCCTCTTTGAGGTAACGGATTTCCCGCTCGTTTAAGTAGACTTGACAACGGCGAGAGTACGAAGGGTGAGCCTCATGACAATTAAGGCAAGAGGGAGGTCGATTGCAAGACGTATTAGAATGGTCATCGGCACCACAGACTGGGCATTCGGCGATAGATCTGCAATATTTCGCTGGATGGCCAAATCGCCAGCAATTTCTACACTGTTGCGGTGTAGGGATCACCTTTCGAACTTGTAACCAATGTCCTGCTACATAAACTGAGGATGGGAGTTCATGGCTGTCAAAAGTTAAACGAGCCACATTGCTAGGGTATCGTCTCCGCCCGCGGGCAGGAAGAACGTAAGTGTCTACCTTGAGGATTGGGAGATCTTGGAGTTCCAGCTGTTCAAGAATGTCAGTGCCACATGTCTGGAAATTTTGTTGAACTATGGTATGGGGCAGAATGATGGTACCACTACAAGAATTGAGGGAATGATGCTTTTCAATAGTTACAGGAACAATATCGATATGGGAAAGACGAGAAAGCTCATGAGCCTGGGTAGCATTCTGTACGGTGACGATGAGCGTACCGCTCTTAAGAGCATGAAAAGAAATATCTTTACCAACATGGCGTAGGAGTGCCTTGCCAATGCTGTGGTCAGAAAGATAGGCAGTACAGGAAATCGGTCATAAAGTGAAGAATTTAGTCCACTGTGCAGTCTGAAACTGAGCGTGGAAAGGTAGTGAAGGACGTGTCGATCTTTTCTGAGAAGAACGAGAAGATGGAGAAGTATCATCAGCAGGTAATTGTCGTTGTCGTTTAGGCGTGGGACCAGAGTTGGTCCGACGTGGAACGGGCCGGCGATTCGAAAATTGCCGCACCGTAGAGGGAGAGGCCGGAAGCATAGTCAGAGGAGAGCGAAGGTCAGATAAATCGAAGGAGTCAGTCGAGGCCTCAGTACCTGAAGCGGGTGAGGAAACAGCACCGGCAAGAGGTACAGAGGCATGAGGAGTGTCCGAAGAGTGGTCCAAAGACGAGGCGGGGTCAGAACGGGGTGCGGTATCAAGAAGGGGCCCGGGGGTAGCAGGTTCATGGACTAGGGCTGCCATGGTTAGGTTACTTCTTTCTTTTTGTTTTTAAGAAAAAAAAGAAAGAAAATAAAAATAAAAATAAAAAAAAAGAATAAAAAAAGGGGGGACCGGGGAGGGATAGTTCCTAGGAGGAATGAAAGGGCCAGAAATCTCCCTCCGCGCCCAAGAGGACCTCAGCACCACAAGTAGCGCAGATGCAGCATGGAACCCGTGCCATACCCTACCCATCATGCCAGTAAACCGGCAATCCGGGATAGCAACCTCACATTTGCCGAGCTACCTCGGTGGACAAAAGAGAGGGCGGCCGGAAATCCGCCACAAAGCATACCTCCTTCGGCCACCACCCCCGGAATCCGAAAGTTGGCTTCCAGAGATACACCCGTCGCCCGAGAGACACCCAAAGCCACCCTCCGGGATACCGGAGAGGGATCAGGACATCCCCAGGCAATCCAGATTCCACGGCAAACTACGCCACCGCCAAGAACCTCAACGGAATGGGATGGACCCCGGTACCCTTTCCCCTACCTAGGAACTAGCGTGCCTGTGGGTAAAAAAAAAAAAAAAAGGGCCAAAAAGGAAGGGCAAAAGGGAGGGGTGGGGAGGAGGAGGAGGAAAGGAAAAAGGGGAGGATGGGATAGGGAACGGGGGATTGGGGGGTAATTAGGTTCGGTCTGAGGAAGTAGACCGACAGGTCTAATTCCTCAGACCAAGAGCCTCTTCACCATGCCAAGGAGCCCCCCTTGAAGAGGAAGACAAGGATAAAATTGTACTCGTATCCCATATCCTCTTCATACCTCCGTCGAACTGCTCGGTATTATGCCAAATATTATTCATTCTTGAATATTTAACATGTTATGTTATTTATATTCTTTATTATGTCATATCAGGTCAATTGTGATAGGCAAATAAGCTGTTGTGTTGATATTAGCATAATAATAAAGCATATTCCCCTGCATCACAAGACTGAGCTCACAGCAACCGACAGTGGCTTCAAGGCCACCTTATCTCTAATAGACAATGTACTGTGTCGGTGCTTTACACGAGAAGCATTTCTTTTATTCGTTAGAACCATGGCCAAGGCTAAAAGTAAGCAAGTTATAAATGGAGAAAAAGAAATTGGAATGATTTGTGCAGCAAGTAGCACCACCAAACAGTAACAGCAGGTCGGTGTGATGACCCTGGAAATTTGAAGTTATGCTAGCCAAAATTAGTGCCGAATAACTGATGGAACCGGATGTCTGATTGCCGGATTTGTGATGGCGGACCTGTATAAACTTAACATGGAGGACACTGAATAAAATAAAAAAAAAATTTAATTTCCTTTTAGACTCAGTAATACATATAGGGATAAACACTTGATGGGTATATACATAGTAGTGAATAATTACAACTAGATAAAATTTTTATTAGGGTGCCAAAATTTCACTTACCTGTTCAAGGCTTGGGGCCAAGTTTTTGAGTTTTAGTTGCAAATTATCAACAGTAAGTGGGCCTCCAAGCACCTCAAGGGGTATTCCTGTTTGGCCACTAATAAAAAACAGGGACGGAACCAGCACTAATGGATCTTAGACGAGGTTAAGGATAGTCAAATAATTTTGTTACTAAACATCTGGTAATTATGTGATCATAGGAGATTTTCATACAAACTGTCTCAATAAATACAATGAATTCAAAAGAAGCCAACTCAAACTGCAATTAAATACAGGATCAGAGGCATGACTACTCAACTTAGATGCTCCAGCACACATTTATAGAGTTCCCAAAATATTCAGAGGGTTGCACTGACCTATTTCAATAGGAAGCCTTGCTGAATGACAATATTAAATCGCTAAGTTGACGCAAAGAGGCTTTCTCAAGATATCGTTGGAAAAGCTTTGAAAAAAAAAAAAAGCATAAAGTATCTGTACTGTGGATAGCTAATAATAAAAAGGATACAGATCTGGGAGAATTGTTTAGCACCTTCAGTACCATTTTCTAATTGTATTGCTACAAAATTGTCAGAACCCAGTGCAGATGATATATCTTTCTGTCCTAAGGCTTCATCTGTAGTTTTGGAAGCTTCTGAAGAATCTGAAATTTGAATTTTGAATAAATGAGATTGCTCTAAGTTAAATTTATGGCAACAAATAAAATTTGTGAAAGCTAATACACAAAAAGGTTTCTTCTATTATTTCTAATCTGTTTTCCAAGACTTGTTTTTTTTATTGCAAATGAATGTGAATTTTTTAGAGATGTTAGAGTTTATTATTACTATTACTGTTGTTATAATCAGGGTACAGCTCTAGACCAGTAGGGGTCATACACTTAATGGGAAAATGGAGAGCAAGCAGATTCAATCTAAGGAAGGGGAGGATACCTTTGGTATACAATTGACAAGTTCCAAGAGTCTTTCTACTCCTGGAGCCCAGTCATGGTCGTCTTTGGATCAAAAGCCCTTCACTGGCATCAATCGGTATAGGGGCATAATATCTAAAGTTACATATAGGAATAACAGATTTGCTGAAATGCTTGAGGAAGATTCAGCACCATCCACCTTACTTCTAAAATGATGCTTATGAAAGAGGGATCAATTGAAAAAATACCATCAGTTTTTTTTTTTTAACAAGAGTGCAACTTAACAGTTAATGTGTCACTGAGAAATATATTAATTTTTGAACAGAAGTCTTCAGACCTCAGGGATCTTATTAGGATCTCTAATATCTAAATTTAATATGTTACTGTACACAATATTGAACTTGTAAACACAGAGAGGGAGAAATCTGTAGATAAATGTTACAATATGGAAACTTACCATGTACATATACTACAAAAATGGCATTCCTTGATTTGGCAGCGCTAATGGCCTCTGGAATGTTTCCTTCAAACCACTTCATTCTTGCTTGCAGTTATTTATATGGGCCTCCACACATAAGAACACGGCTCTATATCTGTTGATATTATCCAAATAAATTTTTTTAGTAGAGTTAGTAAGGGCAGTGTGAGGTGCTAAAGGAAGTATTATCCAAGTTTGTGTAATAAATCTGCTGCTGTCAAAAAGTCAAAGGTGGAGTCTAAGGTGGAGCTGTCAGCAAGGAGGAAAGATAAATTAAGCGTGTCAGAGCAGTGACGACATTGGTGGTAAATTCTGCATGCTTGCTAACAGACAGGACAATCTAATCGTTGAATATATAACATGCACAGTAGTATGAATATTTGGTATATTAAGTAACTTTAATTAAGTTTTTGAAAATGAGGGCGAGGGGGGTGGAATGGAACCTGAATAAGTGATAACTTTAGTTTTTTTTTTTTTCAGACACCAATTGTGTACAAGCTCTTACTGAACATGACATGTTGATAATATTTTATATAATTGGGTTTGTCAAATTCACACTGAAAGTTAGGTACTAAAATCATAACTGATATTTATTTCAGGTTATCATTATACATTTATCATGCACTGAACATACACTGATGCAACATAAGCAACGATGATGATTTCAACAAGGATAGCCAACAAAAAAACTCTTATAGTTATATTCAAGGAAACCTTTATTCTATTCTAACCAAATAAGCTTAAGTTACAGTTTGATTTTACATAAAAATATACAAAAATTAAAAGTTATTATGAACAAAGCTCATAAGTCACAAGTACAGGTTGGCCATCACTAATCCAGCGATCAGTAATCCAGTTCCATCAGTAATCTGGCACTAATTTCTATCATAATTTCAAATTTCCAGGGTCACCACACCAGCCTGCCGCTGCTGTTTGGTGGTGCTACTTGCTGCATATGTCTTTTCAATTTCTTTTTCTCCATTTATTGTTATAACCTGCTCACTTTTAGCCCTAGTCATGGTTCCAATGAATAAAAGAAATGTTTCTCGTTGTGTAGTGCACACGCACCGTACATTGTCCATAAAAGATAAGGTAGCTTAGAAGCCACTGTCGGTCGCCATGAGCTAAGCACGTTCAGATAAGCCGTGACTGGTAAATTTAAGAACCTAATAAGGAAGGAACACTGCAGCAGGCCTACTGAGCCTTGCAAAGCAGGTCCATGTCACCCCCCACCCCACCCCCAGATTAGCCCAATGACCCACCTAGTCAGGTTACTTCCACTTAAGGAAGGAGCAAGGCATCAGATCTAGTAACTAGTCAGGTCCAACTCACACCCACCCACACCCACTCATGTATTTATCTAACTTATTTTTAAAACTACACAATGTTTTAGCCTCTACAACTGTACTCGGGAGTTTGCTCCACTCATCCACAACTCTATTACCAAACCAGTGCTTTCCTATATCCTTCCCGAATCTGAATTTTTCCAACTTGAAACCACTGCTGCGAGTCATGTCTTGGCTGGAAATTTTCAGCACGCTATTTACATCCCCTTTATTTATTCCCGTTTTCCATTTATACACCTTAATCATGTCCCCTCTAATTCTATGCCTTTAGAGAGAGTGCAGATTCAGGGCCCCTCAGTCTATCCTCATAGGGAAGATTTCTGATACATGGGATCAACTTTGTCATCCTCCTCTGTATGTTTTCCAGTACATTTATATCCATTCTGTAATACGGTAACCAGAACTGTGCAGCATAATCTAAATAAGACCTATCCAAGGATATGTACAGAGTTGAACAACGATCTGAGGACTTCCCTTATTTATACTTCTAGATATGAAGCCAAGGATTCTGTTGGGCCTACATACGAGAGAATAGGTCTGTGTCGTAAGTGTGCACTATATAAAAAAAAATCCTTCAGCATGCAGTGCATAATGAAAAAAAACGGCGACAGTGCTTTTGGTGTAAAACAGCGACTTTGTTGTGTATTTTCGAATGGTTTTGTATGGTTGTATTCTCATTTTTTTTGGCATCATTTGATAGAATGGAAAATATATTACAGAAATATATGTAATTTTGATTGGTTTCAAGCCGAAAAGTACCTTAAAATTGAGCTCAAAGTAGCGGAAACATTCAATTTTTGCCAATGTTCAAGAGTAAACAAATGACGTTACCATCCAATACACGTCCAACTGGCCAGTCTAATACGCAGTCATGAATGGGTTGACATTATTTATAGTACATTACAACAATGCAGTAATCTGCACTTCTATTTTTTGTGAATAAAAATTCAAAATGGAAAGCAAGCGTAATATGAAAGTGGCCTGAAGACGTGACTAATGAACAGAGAAAATGTTATTTTAGTGCCAGGAATATCTGCACTGTTTATTCTGGACCTTATTTTGAAATTGGCATCTCTTGAAATTTATGTGAAAATGGTCAAATTACCAATTTCTGACTATTAGGTAGTTGAAATAGGTAAATGGGCAGTTTCTTGTATTCAAAAGAATAGAAGGAATACCAGCAAAATAGCTATAAGTCTGGTAGACTGGAACAATAGAATGGGTCAAAAATAGGCGTAAAGTGGGTGAAATTGCCGATGTATTAATATCGCCGTTAGGGTAAGTGTATTTTAACCTAACCATTCTGTAATCCATCAAAATCACTAATCTGGCACCCTAAATGATGGATTAGTGATGGTCAACCTGCATTATTATTATTATTGTATATTATGTTTAGAGAAGTACTAAACATGCAGGGGTTCATACAGTGCCTGAAAAACTGAAGGTAATCAGTTTTGATCCAAAGGAAAGTGTAGCTCTAATTCCTTAGAGCAAGAGCTCTTCATCAGCACAAGACACCCCTTGAAGGGCTATCAGTCAATAAATTAGAATTAAAACTGACAGTACTAAACACCTATCATTATCCCAGTGTTTTAAACTTTTACAAGGGATTTACACCACATTGTAAATTATGTTGAATTTAACCAAGGACAGCCAAATAAAGAGTGGTTATAAAAGGTATTGTGATATCACAGAGTAACATTCTGAATTTGCAGTTTCAACATTTATTAAAGGAAATGTTTTACCACGAGTGGATTCTTTGGCCCTAATACAGAGGAAGCAAAAATGACAGACATATACAGTGAGATGGGGTCAAGTGAAACTGAGTAGGAAAACAAGATGATGATATGCATTGGTTGGCATCACATGATGATAGCATCCAAGTTGGTCTAGTTACTTGCCAATTATTTGGAGATACTAAAGCTGGCTAATTTTTGTAAGATAATAATATTTCATTTAAGCATGATACAATGTTTGTAAAGAGATGGGCAACATTTAGTTGTGCATGCAGAAAACCCAGTTAAGCACAGCATTTCGGATGGCTTATGTGTTAATAGTTCTGGGAATCATCACCCCTGTAGTGTTGGGAATTACTATTAAGGTAGCTTTCAAGCATTTTTTGTCTGCACAGGTTACTTTTGCAGATAACTAGCATAGCCTCACCCAACTTCAAACTGTCCTTGTAAGCTTCTGCAAGCTTACTTATGTTCACAAACTCAGTTAAGAAGGACCTTGCCATTTCACCTACATACTGTATTTCCTATTGCATCACAAATACAACTCCACTGGTGATTGAGTTATTCTAGTTATCTGCAAGTATGACCCATGCACATGAAGATGCTAGGAAGCTATCTTAAAAGCAACCTCAAAGACCATCCCACAAAAAATCAGGCAGCTTCAACATTTCCATTTGGCAAAAATAGTTGTTGCCCAACCTGGACATTGCTATCACCCTATCTACCCTACTTCACATGACCCTATCTCACTATGTATGTCTCTTGCTTTAGCTGTCTCTGAGTTAGGACTGAAGAAGCCACTCGTGACAATACATGTCCTTCAATGAATGTCATAACAATAAGTGTCTCTGTCCACACACAATGCGACTTATTTCCAGTGAGCTTAAACATACTAAGCAATCTATGGATATTTCACCTCTGAAGGTCCACTGGTATATGAATGCCTCAAGACTTTAACTGGTCATTTTCTACTTTTTTCCTGGGAGAGAGATCTGCTAATCTTTCATATTATAAATATCATCCATGCTATCCATTCCAAGGGGAAAAAAATAGCTATTTATTGAGTAAATATCTTCTCCAGGTGATATGCAAAACAAAGAATATCATTTGTGTAAATTCTTTTTTATTAAATAGGTTTTGCAATGGAAACAGTTACTTTGGACAAATAGGAAAGAGGCTTAATTTTGATAAGTAAACTGAATAACAGTGCATCGCAACCCAACCAATTGTAACTTATCCTAGACCAGCTGTAAAACAGCCAGTTAGCTTAGGCTGGGTTATATTAGGTTATATAACCAAACAGGTCTTTTCCCATAAATGCTAAATTTAAACATTTCCATTGAACAACACACTTAATAATGGCGAGTTTACACAAAAACACCTGAGTATACAGTAAACAGTATTTAAAAACTTAACTAAGGCTAATATTTTTAAAATGCAAGCAACTTTTTATTAAAGATGAGGTAACTAATCTGCAACAAATTCTGAAAAAAGTTTAGATTTTTGCATTAATTTTTTACAATGATTTTAAGGGCACATACATGTTATGGGAATACGCAGGGTAATCAAATAAAAGTCAAGCTGATTGATTTCTGCTGGGACCCTGACATTGGATGCTTGCAAATTTACAATTAACCATTGTCAGTTATTTATTAAGTACTGGTTTTTATTGGAAAGGTGTACTGCTATATGAAAAGCATTCACCTGACAGTGATTTCTTGTATGGTTAACATTCGTGTACCTATTATAGCGAGCAGAGTTTCCTTATTTAATGTTGATGTAAACTACCAAGTTTAGTTTATCCCTGTTGTATCGCTCTTTATTGTAACTGGTTTTCATGCAGTTGAGTAACAAAGTTGTTTTGTTTTTTACTGTTATAATCAGGTCTGATTTCTAGACTATCTAACAGAAAGGCTGTTAACAATAAGATAATGAATATAGGTCACCTTGACTTTTTTGAGTTATCCTGGGTAATTTACACATACGTTACTATATAAGACAATTGTAATCACTTAAACCTTGTGTAATTATAAATAAACTTACCTACTAAACTTCTGGTGACTCGGCCTTACACGTCTCTTGTCATCACGGAGGTCGGTTATACTCCCTCACACACTCTACCACTTTCTTCACTATAATATCTCGCATTTTTTTAAATAAAGAATAACAGTTTATCAGTATACCGACTATATTATAATTCTTCTGATATTTTATCAAAATTTATTTGTTAATGGTAAGTTAGTTTCCTAGATGTAAGGCTTACATATCGATTCCGTATGATGCAATCCTGCTTTATACAATATGAAAAATATTGTATTTAATCGTCATTGTTGAGACTAGAGCCAGGTATAGATACTCAAAAATTAGAGACAAAGGAATTAATGTACAATTGCTATGGATCCCATCACACATTGGAGGCCTGGTCACAGACCGGGCCGCGGGGGCGTTGACCCCCGGAACTCTCTCCAGGTAAACTCCTTCATGATAAAGTTGATATGTTAGCCAAGAAGAGTACCCAGAAGGAGAATGTAGAATATAACTTTGGTATAACTGTGTTTAGCATTAGGAATAATATTAGGAGAGAAGTAAATAATGAAAATGATTGTTATAGGAATGCAGTTAGAAGCCTGAGTAGATCTATAACCCACTATGATAACATGAACGTAGATAAGTATGTTTATGGAGCAAAGTGCAATGTGAACAGACTGACTGATGTAGTGGCCAGACTTAGGCTTGGTTACAAGTACTTCTGGCAGTTTGGGAGACACACAGATGATGATCAAACTAATTGTAAATTATGTGGTCAGGCATATGGTCACTGTCTTGAACACTATGTGCTTAATTGTCCACTTATTGAAGAATACAGAGACAGACAGTATAATAACCTATGTGACATGTCAAGATATCTTATTAATGAAAATAAGATACCAGATATACTAAGCAAATTTCCTAAATTTGCTTGTAACAGATAAGTGAACTATAGATATCTAGATATAAATCCATATGTAGTCCTGTTAACCCTTTGAGGCCTAGTTCCTAGGCCTTTTGTGTATCCATATGCGCTCGCGCTACCGTCCACAAGATGGGTATGAGGTGCACAATAAACTAGCCACTTCGGTGGCAAAATCTAATCTGTTGAGACTAGGTACCTCGTATAAACAATGAGTGTATAATATAAATATATATATATATATAATATATAAATATATATATATATATATAATAATTATATATATATATATATATATATAATATATATATATATATATATAAAATATATATATATAATATATATATATAATATATATATATAATATATACACCCAGTGGCGTATATACTCTGTATTCAGTTTTATTTAAAACTCAAAATTAATGAAAGATTATCACTATAATTATATTCACGAGGTAGCACTAAACCCGTAGCAAAATGGGAGGGCAATCAGGTTCGATTCAAGGAGAGGGAGGGATAAGTAAGTTTATTTAACACAGGTACACTTAAGTACAATTATCATACATAGTGTAAAGTAAGTAGAATAACTCAAAAAGTCGGACAAAGTGACTTATTTCCAGTGTGGTCCTTGTAATTTCGTGTCATTAAACCTTAGAGTTAAAACAGCTAAGTAACTCAACTGTGTGAATATCAGCAACAATAAAATGTTATCCTAAGAATAAGGTAAACTGAGTTATTTACATTAACATTAAAGTGAGGATCAGCTTAAAAATGATAGTTACATGACTGTTAGCTGTACAAGAAATCACTCTTCTCCAACTTCTCGGATCAAGAGCCTCTCACTAGCAACGAGGCACCTTTCTTGAGGGGAGCTAATATAGGAATACCAGTGAGAGAATAACCATCGTTTGTACATAAATGAGAAAGATACGTAAACCTGTTTAGCTTTCTCTAACTCCATAAGTAACAGTGAAGCCGCAAATATTTTGTATAACACATTTGTTTAGTGTCAAGGATATTAAAAAGACTGGAAACAGGTACACGGGGACATAACTGAAGGTAAACCACAGATAAGTCACAGGGATGCTGAAAAATTTTTCTTCAGCCTCAGAATGGTCAGGAAGTGAAACGACCTGGACAGTGAAGAGGTCAAGTGAAGATCCATACATTGTTTGAAACATGTATATGCAACACAAGTGGTCAGTTGGAGAGTCACAACTACGAGCTGAAAATCGACCACTGCAATAAATATTAAATAAGAATATTGATTTAAAAAACAAATACAATAAATCAACGAAAATAAATAAACAGCAGCAATTAAATGAGCTTTACCTTTAATTCCAGCCTTTGTTGATCATTAAAAAGATTTGGAACGAAATAAATTTTCCTCGGCATTTACTTAAAACTTTTGAATATTTTAATAAATGAATAAATTGGTTAGCAACAACTTCGCAAAATAATCAAAATGACAATATAAAGTTGCTAATGAAAAATAAACTACTTCACCTAAGTGAAGTATTATATTAATTCAGATGGAGCTTATTTTTAATTGTATTAAAGTCTTCTCTTGGTAGTAAGAAAGTTTGTAGATGAATGGTTCAGAGAACCGACATGTTGATAAATTACATCGATACCATGCCTAACCCTTCTAGGGTAGGGTAGGTGCCTGAGCCCGAGCCTTTAGCTCATTTGCCTCCTTGGGGCGGGGATGGCAGACCAGAGAGGCCTAGCTTGTGGCTAGGCCTGGGGACAGTTGATCCCAAAGATGAGGAGGTACTTGTGCCTCCTCCCATGGGAGACTTAGGTCTCAGACACTCCCTAAAGAGGGAGCCAAGGCCGGGCCACCACTTGGACAAGGCCCGGGCCGGGAGAATACCGGCTAATCTTTAACTAACTAACTAATTGATAAATTAGACACATGTGCAACTCTTGGGTATCTTTATTGAGGAAACGTTTCGCCACACAGTGGCTTCATCAGTCCATACAAAGGAGAATCTTGAAGAACAGGAGGAGAATGAGGTAATCAGTCCCTCAACCTTGAGTCGATGTGGTCAGTCCATCAATCTTGAATAGAATACGCCATACTTGCGGAGGAGCTTATAAACCGTTGGCAGGAGAGGTGCAGCAGACATAGGTGGTGTCACATTTGTTCAATGTGGAAGTAGGTCGTGCCCAAGAATTAGGCAAGTGAAGAATTCCCAAGTATTAAGATCCCAAGAAGTTGCAGTGTCTGACAGGTTTGTAGATGAATGGGCACGACCTACTTCCACATTGAACAAATGTGACACCACCTATGTCTGCTGCACCTCTCCTACCAACGGTTTATAAGCTCCTTCTCCGCCAATGGTATTGATGACTGGACAGACATTTTTCTTAACAAATTACTTAGACTATACAACAAACATTGTCCTATAAAAACAAAACAGATCACAAACAAACGGCTTGGTTGCCCATGGCTAACCAGCACCATTCTGAAATCCATTGACAAGAAACACCAATATGAAAAGCAATATAGACAGGGCTTAATACACAAAGATACTCTTAAACACTATTCATCAGCTCTCACCAAAGTAATAAAGAAAGCCAAACAACTATACTACTCCAGTAGATTCACAGACACTAGAGGAGATATAAAAAAGACCTGGAAAACACTCTCTCAGATTCTAGGGACCCACAAACTGAGAAAAACCAAGAATATTGTCCTAACTAAACCTAATGAAACACCACTACATCCCACTGACACAGCTAACAAGATAAACGACTTCTTCTCAAACATAGGATCTAATCTCGCCAGTAAAATCCCACATACCAATGCCCATGCCGGGGACTACCTAGATGGGAATTTCCCTAATTCCTTCTAACTTGCACTAACTGAGCCCACGGAAGTCATTGAGATTATAAAGTCACTTAAAAATAACTCAGGGAATCTGTCTCATGTCCCACCATTACTGTACAAGCGAGCAGCCCATGTCCTTTCGCATGCAATTTCATTACTTTTTAACAAGTCACTAGAGACTAGCACCTTCCCGAAACTACTCAAGATGGCAAGGGTTACACCAATACATAAAGGTGGTGACCCTACAGACTTAAAAACTATAGGCCAATATCTACTTACCATTGCTATCCAAAATCTTTGAGAAACTCGTGCACAGGAGACTGTATTCATTTATAACGGCTCAAAACATACTCAACCCCTGCCAATTTGGATTCAGGAAAAATAAAAGCACTAATGATGCAATCATAAAAATGCTAGATCTGCTTTACACAGCATTGGAAAATAAGGAATATCCACTAGGAATTTTTATTGACCTAAGAAAAGCTTTTGACACAGTAGACCACGACATCCTACTCCACAAACTTGATCATTACGGTATAAGAGGCCATGCGCTAGCTTATTTCAAATCTTACATTACTAATTGGTATCAGTACGTCACCATTAAAGACACAGCATCAGCAACACGGCCACTTGATACTGGAGTTCCGCAGGGAAGTGTCCTTGGTCCCCTGCTCTTCCTCATATACATCATTGACCTTCCAAACGTATCCCAACACCTGAAACCCATTCTCTTTGCTGATGACACGACTTATGTCATCTCTCACCCTAATCTTGCCACCCTCAACACCATTGTGAATGAGGAGCTGATTAAAATATCGACTTGGATGACAGCCAATAAACTTACGCTTAACACTGACAAAACCTACTATATTATGTTTGGTAGCAGAGCAGGAGATGCACAAATTAACATTAAGATTGACAACACTCTAATTACCAGAAATAATGGGGGAAAATTCCTAGGCTTATACCTTGACAACAACCTGAATTTCAGCACCCATATCCAGCATATAACCAAAAAAGTATCCAAAACGGTTGGGATCCTCTCCAAGATACGATACTACGTGCCGCAAAATGCCCTTCTCACACTATACCACTCACTTATTTATCCATACCTCACCTATGCTATTTGTGCTTGGGGATCAACTGCAGCAACACACCTAAAAGCCAATAATAACCCAACAAAAAGCTGCAGTAAGAATAATCACTAAATCCCATCCCTGGCAACACACCCCCCCACTCTTCATAGACCTAAACTTACTCCCAGTTCAGCACATCCACACTTACTACTGTGCAATCTACATCTACAGGGCCTTAAACTCTAATATCAACCTTGACCTAAAACGCTTTCTTGATAGTTGTGACAGAGCCCACAGGCATAACACCAGACACAAACATCTCTACGACAT